ATAAAGACATGGATGAACAAGTTTGAGATGGAGGAACTTGACCTCAAGCCGATCGAAAACTTTTGGGATCAATTAGAATGGAAACTGCAAGCCAGGCCTTCTCATCCAACATCAGTGCCTGACCTCACAAATGCACTTCTGAAACAATGGTCAAACATTCCCATAGACACTACTAAACCTTGTGGACAGCCATCCCAGAAGAATTGAAGCTGTGATAACGGCAAGGGTGGTCCAACTCAATATTGAACCCTATGGACTAAGACTGGGATGCCATTAAAGTTCATGTGCGTGTAAAGGCAGGCGTCCCAATACTTTTGGCAATATGGTGTACCTGTGAAAGCTGTGAAAACTGTCCATATGTGACCATTCTATTTCTGCTTCTTTTATCTTATTTTTATCCCTGCCAAATGCACACCACCCCCCTTTTTTTATTTTCTTTCTTTTTCTATCCTCTCCTCTTCCCCTTATTTTTCTAATTCTCATCAACTCTATTAGAGTCCTTTCAAAAATATGAGTATTTTCTCACTGAGAACTATGAGGTACCATCTCACTGTCCTTTGTGGGTTACCTACAAGAGTAAGGAGAAACATATACTGCTTCTGTATTATCGCTTATTAATTCTTATACTTTTAGGTTGCTATGGAGATTATTTACTACTAGTTATAGCTACCACAGAAACACAACCGTTTGTTTACCTATGTATTTGTGATAACTTGTCAGGGGTTATTTGCATTAACTTTGGGTAGGGACATTACACTAATCTTTGATTTCCATGGATCTATCTGCCTTTTCATATGCATATGCATTGTATCTCCCTTTTATATTCTCAAAAACTTGAATAAACAGATTAATACAGAGTCAGATTTTGTTTTAGATCTGATCATGCAGAAAAATATCTGATCAGTTAGAAATAATACGATATAAATACCTATTTAGTTTAAAGACCTAAACTAGACCTTCATGCTGTACAAATGTTAGAATGGATTGACACAATTACTGCATATACTAGGACTGCATTCCCCTCGTGTTCCAACTCCCTCAATAAAGTGTCTATGACACAGACCTTGGAAATAAGGTTTAGCCAGCTGTGCAGCTCTGCCCCCAACCACAAACTTGCTGAGCCATTCAGCTCAGTGCACAACAGCTGTCCCGTTGTTCAAGAGGTGCTTGGCAGGGGTCGGAACCACCTGTCCAGGGCCTCACTTTAATGATATTCTGATTCTAGCCATAAGATTTGTTTATATCTGAAATAAAATCAAAGTATGTAACATCAGCATTCCTTCAATCAAATGCAGAACCTAGATATTTGTAGATATGCTCTTAACTTGTTAGCTTTACTATGGTTGCAGTAGTAGAACAAGTAAGGAAATGAAAAATGCAGTCTACTGGATTTAAATCAAGTTGATTTAAATCACTAGAAAAGGCTCGATTTAAATCATAATTTTTAAAGAGTAGCTGTCATCTCTGTCCCGCAGCAGCTCCTCCTTTGATCCGCTGTTGACTTACCAACCATCCCATTCACTTTAATGGGATGGCTGTTGATGTGGCAGTGACACAACAAGGTGAGGGACGTGGCGGCGGCAATTGAGTGGATGCCCCCTAACAGGCACTGCCATGATGGATCTAAAATGACAGGTGCTCTTTAAATATAAGGAATCCAACTTATTCTTGCTGGGTAGTTTGCAAACCAAATGAAGGTTTCCTTTTCAGAATAATAAGCAGTCAGGTTAGTAAAACAGAAATATCCGAACCGATTTTAGGCTAATAGGTTAATCATACATAGTTGAACTACTCAAATTCTTTTATTTCATGTTTTTTTTTTCATGGTTACTGTGAAATTGTGTGAATGCATCAATGCAGTGCATGTTATCTTTTGCAGAGCTTGGATTCATTGAATGAGTTTACCAAAAATGTAAATTTTGCAGAATATACAGCCTCATGCTACATAATTAAGCTCCATTTCATGCTAAATAAACTAAATTATTAATGTATCTTAACCTCCCTAGCGGTATGATTATGTCAGTATTTCTGTGCTCAAAGCGGTACATTGTTTTCAATGGAAATATGTTGTTTTTTTATTGTAGGCCTGTAATTCTTAGGAATAACTCATTGAAATCTGTTTAAACAAGAGTCTAGTAGACATCCTTGGTGCAATAAAGTTTAATAAATTAAATCAAGTTATAATATAATAAATTCTGTCCAAACAATATTATATAGACCCTGCATATTGTAGAAAACATTGCGGGTGTGGTATATTTTGAAACATGGGACTGCACAAAGTCCGACATTGCAATCAGGACAGTGGAACCTCGTTTCCTTGCGGATTTTTTTTTCCACTCTCATCTTGCCGAGAGCAACATACCATGCACATCTGTGTAGGTGCTGCCTTTTTTTTGGGTTGGTGGGATGTGGTCCATAAAATGACATCCAGTCAGACGTTCTGGGTTGAAAACTCCCACAGCACGTCGTCCGGATCTACCTACAGACACTGATGGTGTTTGATGCTTGAAGAAAATGGATTCCGCCACTTTCCACATGAACCACAGGCTTGTCACTGTTTTTGTGGAACAGAATATAGGCATTCCACAAGCACTGTTCCAGAAGATGCTGGAAAATCTTTTTGTAGTATTTCTTCTGCTGCTTTCTCATTGCCGGATAGAATGTCTTGGTCAGCTCTGTCGACACCTCCCATGGTGCTGTTGTAGTCCATGACAACCTGCGGCTTTTAGATGTTTTTCCCACCTTTTTGTTTCTACCGTCACTGGAGGCATTGTGAACGGTACTCATTAGGCACACATCCTTCTTGTCCCACCATCTAAGTTTAATCATTTTGCCTTTCTGCCAGGCAACTAATTCTCCCGACTTCAGTTTGTTTTTTGCAAACATGGATGGCAGGTTGCGCCGGTTAGCCCGAACGGTTCCATATGCATCTGTTTTGTGCTGAAGAAGAACCTCGTAAAGTTCTGGAGAGGTGTAGAAATTGTCCGTTGTTACACAGTAGCCTTGGTTTAGCAGAGGTTCAATCAGTGCCAGGACAGAAGATGTTGCCATTCCATAGTTGCTGTACTTGGTATCAAATTTTGTGCCTTTGCCTGTGTATATAACTGTGTTCCAGATGTAGCTGATAGAAAATTTGTACAGCAGGTAGAATTTGACGCCAAATCGTGCTCTTAGACGCGATATACTGTATCCATCTGAGCCTTCCTTTGTAGGCCATTAGACTTTCATCTATGCTAATGTCTCTCTCTGGCACATAGCTCTGTTGGAAATTTCTGACAATTATTTGGGAGACTTCCCAAAAATTTTTTAGCTTGGGAACCGGTTGAGTTGTTTCATCAAAATCCTCATTCTTTGCGAAGTGCAAAAATTTCATAAGGGAAAAGCTGTACTCCGACATGACTGTGCCAAAGAACGGTGTGGCGAGCATTTTGTTGGTGGTCCAGTACCACTTCTGCAGCGGTTTCCCCACCATTCCTTGCAGAATAATTAGGCCGAGAAACAGCCAAATGTCCTCTTTGGTCACAGGTTCCCACTTTCGGCTTCGTGAAAACCTGCTGTGTGGAGCAGCTAGTTGCGCTACGTACCTATTTGTCTCCGTCACGATAATTTCAATCTTATCGGTCAGAAACAATTCCAACTACACCAAGGGGTTGTCACCTTCAACGTGGATTTTCATACCAGGTGCTCCTGTTACCGGAAATCTTGGTGGCGCTGGCGTATCGCAATCAATAGTGCACCACGTGCGCAGATCACTCACGTCAGTCTCAGATTGAAGACAAATCGCCACGACTCATTATCGCTCAATTCAAGTAGCTTGTCGCTGTTCCCTAGCTCATCATGAACCGCTTTGGCGCTAGCAAGACGCTTTTTGGAAGCCATGAGTGCAAAACCGTTTTTAGTCACAGAAACTGAAAAACTGCACTGTAGAAATATCTGAGGTAAAGTTACATTGTATGCACTAGAGTAACACTTTATTTTGACACTGATCTATTTTTGTAACTCCTGCCTCCCGCAAGCCCCGCCCCCCGACGGCACAGCATGGCAGGCTCACGCTGATCACACTGATCAGCATGAGATACCAGGGAAGGAGACGGGACGGACGGAGGGGGATGGCTGCATGCGGCTCAGGACCCAGGACACGGATCGCAGGGACCAGGTACTTCGTTTGCGGTGACCCCGTGTCTGGCTCGGGGTTACCGCTTTTGACCGCTAGATTTAACCCCGAGCCAGACTCGGGAAACCCGCTAGGGAGGTTAAATAGAAAACTCTTAAGATAGATTTTACTGTAAAAGTATTTTATTAAAATAAATTTGATAGAAAGGAAAGGAAAACGTTTGAACTAAGAATGATAATTCTATTTGACACAAGAGATAACGGCCTGAATTTGGACATGGGATTCCTCACTCATTATCCAACAGTTTTTTATGACCCCCTCTGTGAGTGTTGTCGATTTTTATCCACCCTGCTACTGGATCTTGTGGTGTTTGTAAAATTTGATCAGTTACTTGTCTGGTAAGTAATGCGGTATTTGAGAAATAATTTCTGAGTACAATAAGTCATAAGCTTTCACAAGTCCAACAAAGTTAGCCTAGGTACCCAACTAACACAATTGGCTATATAGTACTGTACTGTAATAGTTTTAATAATACACAACTCCATAAACAAAAAATAAAAACCTTTTTTTACAGTACGTACCTTTTGAAAAGTACACTTGTGCAGCTGGCATACAGGGCGACAATGTACACCGGATACATGAACTAACCTATGTGATTGGTCATGTGAACATACATTCACATATTTGAAAGTTCACAAGTTGAACATTCGTATGTAGGGGACCTAGTGTATTCTTTGTTGTATCTAGTTGTTTTAAGTTAACTTTTACTAGTCAAAGCGTGCTTGGTTTCTTGTTTAAAATATAACTTGTTACCATAGGCATATTTTGCTGAATTGTTGATTTTGTTTTGACTTTTTTTTTTTTCTTTCTATTTGTAGCTCTCACGATGGCTACTCAAATGGTGAGCCAAGCCAGCAGCAACAGCAGCAGCTTATTCTGCAATAGCAGCAGTTTTGGGATTGGTGACATGTATGGCTTACATGATCTTTCTAAAGCAGAAATAGCAGCTCCTCGATTGATAATGCTAGCAAATGTTGCTCTTACTGGAGAAGTTAACAATGGCTGCTCTGATTATGCTTTGGAAGAGGACAAGCAAATGGCTGAATTGACCACTGTCTATGAAAACAGTTTTTCTGATAGTGAAGGGGAAAGGATGGAAATGGAAGAATCGGCCTTGGAGAGTGAGGCACCCATTTTTGAGATAATGGAAATTCCACCCCCTCAAGTGCAGGCAGAAACTGTATCTGACAATCAAACCCCTACTCTTGATAATCCTGTAGAACCCGAACAAGAAAAAGATGTGGATGCTCCTCCAGTGGCTGAAGAGAAAAACAAGAGCACCAAAAGCAAGCCTTTTCAGTGTAGGCCTTGCCAGTATAAGGCTGAATCAGAAGAAGAGTTTGTTCATCATATTAAGGACCACAGTGCTAAGAGATTCATTGATCATGACACAAATAAAAACACAAAAGAATCAGGATCTTGCTCATCTGAAGAGGTGGACACTTCTAAAGGACCTATCAGATGTGACCGATGTGGCTATAACACCAATAGAATTGATCACTATTTGGCACACTTGAAGCACCACAACAAAGCAGCAGAAAATGAGAGAGTTTACAAGTGCACCATATGTACATACACAACAGTCAGCGAATATCACTGGAAGAAACATCTCCGGAATCACTTTCCAAGGATTGTTTATACATGTTCACAATGTTCTTATTTTTCAGATCGTAAGAATAACTACATTCAGCATATAAGAACACATACAGGTAACTGAATCTGTTGATTCTTTCATCAGTAATTTTGCTTCCAATGCAGATTATAAGGTTATACTGTTGTATCCTACAGTGTTCTGTGTGTGAAATTAGTTCTAACTGTAACTATAACTAGCTTTTCTTTGTTCCTAGGAGTACAAGAATATAAAAATATCAATTAGATCTGCAAAGTATTCATAAAAAACCTGTTATCTTTCTTACGCAACTAGTTTTGGTATTCTGTAGAACAGCATTCAGATTGGCCCAGGAAGGGTTTCCACTAGGAGATACTTGGGCTTTGTTGTATGTACATGTGCTAATAAGAAACATACCGAGTAGAAGAATGAGTACAATATGATGCTGCAACTTTCATTTATCAGCATTCAGCTGTTTTGTCCAGGGTTTTACATTTTTAAAGCTCAGTCAAAACCTTTTTGTTAGAAAAGGAATAAATACACTGTTTGCCACAGGGACAGGAAGTAAGGGGCAGTCTCTTCTGCCAGGGCAGCAACCTCAGCTTCCCAAATTAACCACTTGCCTACAGGGCACTTATACCCCCTTCCTGCCCAGGCCAATTTTCAGCTTCCAGTGCTGTCGCACTTTGAATGACAATTGCGCGGTCATATGAAATGTTTATCATTTTTTTTTTTTTTAGACAGCTTTCTTTTGGTGGTATTTAATCACCTCCCGTGTTTTTTATTTTTTGCTAAACAAACCAAAAACTACTACTGAAAATTTTTTTTAAAAAGTTTTTTCTTAGTCTCTGTTATAAAATTTTGTAAATAAGTGATTTTTTCTCCTTCACTGATGTGCGCTAATGAGGCTGCATTGATGAGGCACTGATGGGCATTGACAGACATCACTGATGGGCATTGATAGGTGGCACTGATGGGCATTGATAGGTGGCACTGATGGGCATTGATAGGTGGCACTGATGGCTAGCACTGATTGGTGGCACTGAAAGGCAGCTCAGATGGGCACTGATATGTGGCATTGATGTGCACTGATGGGCACTGACAGGTGGCACTGATGAGGCTACACTGATCATCAGCGCCCTGATGATCAGTGTACATGTCCCCTCTGAGTAATGCTGATTACCGGCTCTCCTCTCCTCACGGGCTGTCAGCGTGACAGCTCGTGAGGAGAGGAATGCCGATAACCGGCATTTCCTTATTTACATGCGATCAGCTGTGATTTGACACAGCTGATTATATGACAGAGCCAACGTCATCGGCTCTTTCCGTTGATCGGTGATCTGCTGTGTCCCAGGGACACCGTGCACCACCGATCGCTGCGTGCCCTGGGGGCTCGCACGTGGGGTTAGAGTGGGAGGATGTCATATGACGTCCTCCCAGAACGAGAGAACCGCATCGCTCCCGTCATTTCCTTATATGGGAGGCGGTTAAATAAAAAACGTGCTTTGGTCAAAGTGAAACTTTAATTTGCCTATGCAAGGTAAACTTTTCACCTAACTCTCCCCTCCCCAGTACCATACAATTACATTTCCTGATGCTGCATTTAGCTACTGGGATCACAGAAAAATTGCCCTTTGTAAGCTCTAACCTGGGATATGGACTTCTCCTCTGCCCTGATGTGACAGTACTGGAGCAAGCAGGATGCACCTACCACTGCCACATGGAAGAGGTGGAATGAATAACATGCTCACCCATACCTGGAATTGACCAGTATTTCATTTTGCTTTTGACAGCTGAATGGAGGAGCATGGGAGAGGAGTATAAGCTGCTGGGGAGGGGGGATTAAATTAAACTGCTATGATTAAAAAAAGGTTTAGTGCTATGCCATATGTGAACTTATCTTTTTGGTTAATACTTTTTTTTAAGTAAAGTAAATGTTAAAGAAAACCCTTTACAGCTTAATTAGCCGACCTTAATGTAGCCAGCCACAGCTTCTTACAAGCTTGGGTCTTGTGGCATTTAGTTGCCTGACTATTGATGCCATTTGTCATGTAAAATATATGTCTGCAGGGATGTGGAAATTTTTGAAAAAACTGCTTGTCCAGGGACTAAATCAAAGCCCCAATCTACTTGTCCCTCATGACAATCAACTTATCCAGATTAAAAAAACAAAAAACAAAACCGTATTTAAATGGGAGGTAATTTTTAGGAATGTCTGGGGCTTTTAAAAACAAGAGGCTTTATGGTGACTTAAACGTGTAATATTTTTAACATTGCGCTGTTTATCTCCCCCTCCCCTCCCTGCCTGTCTCCAGCATTGCACCCGGGGACTAGCAAGGAGGAGAGAGACCTTGCAGTGTAATGAGCACTGATTGGCTGCTCGTCAGGAAAGGGTGGGTCAGGGCTTATACTTTATCCCTTTTGCTGCCAGAGCCGTTTTTGCATTTTTTGCACACGTTTAAAAAATCATTTTAGGCCTCAAGATTACATAAAACACCCAAACATTATATATTTTCTGAAAGCAGAGACCCTAGAGAATAAAATAATGGTAGTTTAATTTTTTTGTGTCCCATGATATTACCGCAAAATTTCTGTAAAAAATACAGGTAAGTTAATTTTAGGGCACAAAAAAGCAATAAATTGCCTTTTTTGGAAAATATAAAAGACGAGGTTGCAGAGAGTAAATAGATATCCAACTTGTCAAACCTTAAATTTGTGCGAGCTCGTGAAATGGCGACGAACGTCAGTACCCTATATTTTCTATAGGTCGACACTTTTAAAGCTCATTTATAGGTCACCAGTTTAGCGTTACAGAGGAGGTCTGGTGCTAGAATTATTGCTCTCATTCTGGCGTGCGTGGTGATATGTAACGTGTATTGCAATCAATAGTTTCATGCATAGGCACCCCAGCATTTGCTTTTACGTTTGTACGTGCGTATATGTGGGGGTGGGGGTACTCAATATTTTTGTGTGCTTGGGTGTAGCTTTCATTTTTTACAATAAAAAAAAAAAAAATTCAATTTTTTTTTTTTTTATCACATAGTGGTCTCTGAAAGACCTTGGATGTCTCCCCTCTGCTCCACTGGGGATTGCTCTTTCCCAGGGATCGCATTACTATCTCTCAACGGGGACCCAGAAATGAAAACATAACGTCACTTCCAGGTCAGCACAAGGAGGGGAGCGGACTTGTCCGCTCTTCTCCCTCCCCTCTTGCCGATGGCAAGCCTGGCCCGCAGATGGGCAAGCGGAGCCCGGGAGACCTCACGCCAAGGGGCCAAGGCTGTGTGCAAGTAATCTGCCCTTTCATTATCTAATCAAACCAAGATCGGTGTGATCAGATGCTTTCCCAATTTACAAATGGTGCTGTTTATATCCTGCGAAACTGAAGTGATGAAATGCTTGTAGTTTCTGATTTCTTAGGCAATAGAGATGATTGGCCAATTAGCTCTATGGTCAGCTGGCAGAAACACTTGCTGCTTTCTCGTGTTCCCCCGATGGCATGGAACTGCCCTGGAAGGCAGCGGGGGAGGGGGGGGGGGGGGGTCATCATCTCCTGCTGTTGTAAAAGCAACCCTGCAGCTACTTAGCCACTAAGATTGCTTTTACATGAAAGCTGATCGCCGGCTGAAAAAACTGATACCAGGATGATGCCTCCAGTGATGTATGTCGTCGCTGGTCCTTGTTGGGTATATATGCTATGTGCGGTTTTTTTTTTTTTTTTTTTTTTTTTTTTTTGTATGCAGCCTGTGGCCTGAATGAAAAAAAGGGAAGAAATCTCTGCCAGAAAAAGTGTGTGGTATGCCCAGGGTGGATTTAATTTAAATCAAACTGATTTAAATCACTAGTCAGTAAGGCTTGATTTAAATCATAGTTTTCTACATAAAGACTAATTCTTGCTGGTATAACTTTAATATGCAAGTAGATGAAGATTTTTAGAATAGCAATTTTTCATATTAGTTTTTTTTATCCCCAGTTTAATAGGTTAGTCATTCATATTTGGACAACTTTTCTGTTGTACTTAGGAAGGAGAAAAAATAATCATTACCTTTAATAATAACAATTTAAATATATTTCTTCAACTGAAACAATAACATTACAGCATATGTTATTTGCTTAAACAAACATCCATGTTTGTTAACTAATTTGGCTAAACAAAATATATATATTTTAAGAAACTTAGACTGTCAGCCCCTTCCTCCTCACACTTAGTTTCACTTTCTTCTTGTGCAGATCTATTCCACTCCAAACAATCAGAAAAATATTGTTTCTATTCTATTCACTGAACTTCTTGAAACTTCGCACTGAAGGGGTTGATTCTGTATTCATGGGTTTGTAGAAGTTAGGATTAAGGTCTTTTTCTTAACTCTGTTCATGTTATAACATTTTTGCTGTGAAGAAGAGGCATGTGATCTCCGCTGAGTCAAATTCAGTTTTGAGAAACTGCAAAGTAAACCAAGCATCTGTGATAATATCTTGTAGGCAGAGAAACTGCCCAATAATCTTACAAATCCTCTGGAAGAGCATGACATTGTGAATGGATTAATGGAATTTATTTACCAAAAAAATTAAACATATACAGCCTTATTCTACATAATTAAAAAACTAATCTTTATTTCATGATGGAATAACCTTTGGATGGTAATATATTTTCCTCAAAGCATTTTATTCAAAAAAATCCGATTTTAAATCAAAAAAATCTGGGTTTTTTTTTTTAAATTTTTTAAAAAAAAATGATTGATTTTTATCCACCCTGGGTATGCCTACCATTAGAATATACCGCCCAGCATCCATCCACTAATGGTGGGCACACATTAGGTCGCACTGTGCCACATGCGCCAGTTCCAAGATTGTACAAAATAGTAGCATGCTTGAAGAAAAATTGTCCACGTATAAGTGGTACTCCATATGGGAAAAGGATAACACCAAGTCCCAAACTATCTTGCCACTACTCCCCATGTAGTCTGGGCATCCGAGGGGCTCCACGTGACTATCTTTTCCCTCTTAAATCCGAAACCTATAAGTATAGCCTGTTGCCCTCTCACAGGTCTTCTACATCTTGAACCCATATCTGGCACGGTTGCTGGGGCGAAATTGTTTGAA